GAAGCAATCCATACATGTGTACGAAAATCATGGTCATTAAGTATGTAGTTACTTATTATTATTTGAATAAGCTTTTTCTCTCTCCGACGTTATGGCGGGCACACCCAACTTTTTTCGATCGAGGTAAACCGTTTGAGGGCTTACATGTTACTTGTTTTTATCTATCAGAGTCTATTTGATTAGTTTGCCCGGTGCTTGTTGTATGTACTTCAATACTCTACGCCGGATCAATATGAATGCGTCCAGGAGTGGCGTGCCAGGCCAACTTTCGTGAACCGCTAGTTCTATCGCAGGTCTGCGTTACTTTCTGATGGCGGCGGTTACAGGCAGACATACGCACTGCACGCACGCACGCACGCCCAAGCAGTCATATGGATACAAAGCGAGTAGCGAAAATCGCTGCTATTAAGCAAATGCAGGAGACAAAATTCATCACGATAGTGTCTCATCTAGATTAATGTCATGTTATCTGTTATGTGCAGGTGATCTAGTTCCACTATCGCTATTGTGATACGATATAGTTAGTGATAGTTGTCATTATCATTATATCATTAATAATAACGGCCTCTGACAAAGTCAGTTGATGGCTGATTTTACTGAGGTTTGACTTTTTTGTTTAGTACGAAATAGTCTGAGGTTTATAATAACTCGAACTTCTACATACTAATCGATGGTTGCTAGCAAGCGTTTCTGTTAGCAGTGGTCTTTCGAGCCGTGCTGATATAATCAGCCCTCTCGAATGCTCTAGGTAGGGTACTAGTAAATGCGTTAAAGCGTTGAACGTCAGGCATTAGCGTAGCTTGCTATCGATGAGCTTATATTTGCAAGCCAGCGCAGACAAGCTATCATCCAGACATAGGTTACATTTTAAAGGAGATTCTGCCGTTCCGAACATAATATATATGCGCTTAATACCTATTGAGGTCACAGGACAGCGGCGAAATCCGGCCAGTCTTAGATAAGACAATCTAAATAAACGGACTTTATTGAACGCAGCAAAAGATATTGGAATATATTAGGACAGCAATTAATCAGGCTACTGAAAGATTTCTAGGACGGACTACAGTGACATGAATAAATAATATGAATTTAATGAAACACTCTGTGAAGGCTAGATAAGCTGATGTATGTTGTTGTTTTAATTATAAGCCAAAAAAAACGAATCTTCGTACTTGTAACCTTTTTCATAGATGCTCTAGTTAGCTTATTACGCTTTCATTGTTTTTCTTTCAGACCGACATTTTCACCGTGGGGAAGAATGAAAAGATATCCCCACAGAATATCCGTGTACTGCTATACTTGTATATGTCGCAGTTCGAAGCATATTGTATGGAATAGGAACGGATAATAATGCTTATTCAGGTCATTTACCAAAAGTCAGTCTTTGCGACCCAATCGGAATTAAATGGCCATTGCGCCAAAAACTGTTTCTAACGAAAGCTTAATTCACGTGAGGCGTGTATGTACGACAAAGCCTCTATTCTTCGAGAGAATCTAATCCCAAATTGTTGTTACCTTATCCTCCTTAGGAGCACGAGTAAGCCAACACGGCTCCTGCTTTTATAGCCATAAGTTTCCACCTATTTACTACTGCTGTTGTTGATAAGGTTTTTGATCATGTTGACCGCCGCCGTCATGTTCTGTGGCGTCACTATCCCTCTTGGTTGCCCGTACTGTTATTGCTTCAGTTACTTTCTCCTTGGGCCTACTTGTCTTACGTAAGTGTGCCTACAATCGATAAAGATGCGGCACCGAACTGTGAACAAAGACAGAAAAGAGTATTAGGTGCAGACCACCACAGAGCGCAGATTCATCTCGAACAGGAGCAAAGGCAACGGCGCGCTCTCATAACTTTAAAACAGATCCGGGCGATGACCGTGGCAAGCAGTATAAAGCAGTTATTTATTCAATTTTCTCCTCACTCGAAGAAAGGAGGGCGAGGTTGACCAGGGTAGGGAGTAGAGACAACAGCAAAGCCCCCTCGCTTTCTATACATTGGTCAGGCGCACGCACTTCATAAGAACCTGTATGCTTCTGTACATATCTCTCTCTCTCTCTGTCTAAGTGTATTTTTTAAGAGGTAAAAGCTGTTAGTCTTTGCAAAGGCCCGAAATCATTCGGCAAGAAGCTGCCGAAGGAGAAGATTGTCTGCGGTATCCATGCATGGCTGGGGAAGGTTCCGTTTCGATTTTGCGCGAACACCTGGTGAGCCGCTGGGGTTGGGTGGACCTGGCCAGTAAGCTGACCGCTTAAAAATGACGACTAAATTATAAGTTTAGGAAAAAAAAATAGTAATAGGTGGTCGGAAAAGTGGTCGCAGTTTTGTAGCTAGATGGTTTTCACGTCGCAAATCTTAAGTAATAATAGTTGAAAGCTAAAATTTGGTAGCAGAATATATGCTAAAATAACCGCCCTTAGTCAGGCCTAAAAAAGAGGGCTTTGAAGATAAGTGAAATTTCTGCAAAAAAAATCACTGTATTTCATATGTTTATTGCGATAAAGGGACAAATGTTGTCCAGGCCCGTAAAAAATGCGCACGCTGTTTATGGTCAAGGTGCATTATAATAAGAGATAGCTTAAAGATGGTTCTGTTGCTTTCGTTGTGGAAATTTTGGTTTCAAAGATGCTCCTCGCAGCTGCGAAACAAGTTGATGGAATTATCATAAGAGTTCAGCACGACTGACACGTTGGTAGTTATGACGTCGCCAAGAAACAAAACATGCGTTTCCAAAGAGTTTTACGCATACTGCAAATACGCGTACTGGATACAAAAAGGAACTCGAGATATCTAAGTGCCATATAAGTTGACGCAGAAAATTAACTCGATCGTTATTTCCATTAGCAAAACTCCACGGAGACACAACAAAGTCCGGCCATCTATAAGGCCGTTGATGACGGATGGTAAAAGGTAGCTCACACACAATAATAATAATGTGCAAATAAAGTCAAATATGTTCCACAATCTGAACCCAGACCGATACCACAAAAGCGATGTTATGTGTTTGGGCAGGGTTGGGGGGAAATTCTGCATTATGATCCTGGAAGGATCTTTGGACCTTTACTATCATAACAAGATTACAACGAGCCATTGAAAAAGACCGACCGGGTTTAGTAAACAGAAAAGGTGTCGTCTTGAGCAATGACAATGCCACACCGCATGTTTTTCAAGTTACATAGTAAAATACGAGATAACTTGAACAAAAAACTTCAACGCATCCGCCACACAGCTCAGATTTTTGCGTCATCAAACGTTTGGTTTCTGCAGAACTTCCTTAAAGGTATCAATTTTGTTTCAACGAAGAGATGCAAAAACCACTTAATACAGCCTTTCGTTTAGAAACCACAGAAGTTCTACGACGATGGGATTATGGTGTTGCCAGAAAGATGGCAGAAGGTTATCCACAAAATTAGAGCATATCTACTTGAATAACAAAAAAATATTGTGTTGACTTTGGCTTTAAAAGCGGTAGTACTTTTTCGAGCACTGTGAGACCTATCTCATTAACTATCGTATGACAAGATTTGAGAGATATTTACACGGCTTTCGCCTTCTGGTACCGAACTCAATTGAAGTCAGTACACATCGTTGTTACCCGCTAGCTTTGTAAAATACGTAAAGTTGTCATAGTAGCGTGAGGGGTAGGCAAGGTTAAAGCGACGAGGTTTCGAAATTGTTCGTTGATAACACGTTCGAAATTTTCGTAGTTATGCTGAGCAACAGCGCAGCTTATTAAATGCCGAAACATTTAACGGGCGTTAACGCAAAGGATAAGGCTGTGCTCTTTTGGTTACAGCTGCCGTAGGTATAGTGCAGAATGTCAGTTTTTTTCTGAACCCCAAACTGATGTGGTCGTTAGGAATTGAATGTAACCTTGTGTAAGCGAAAATTAGTAAAGAGGGCCAGCGAACTCTACGCAGTCTAATCCGCCGACAATGATCACTATATACCGTCTGCTTGAAGAACAAGACACGATGATTTATTTGTTAGTTATTATTTTAAGGCACAATACCTAGTCTATGGTGTCACTGTGTCGGTAGAGCCTAAAAAAATACTACAAGTGTGGGGCGGAATGAGACCTATCAGCAGATGATTTATAATGGATTCGAACGGAAGTGCTTAGAGATTGGGGGCGCTAAAAGCTCAGGATTTTTATCCAGATTAAGGCCGTGGCCGACCCGATGGTGTGAGTGAACGCCGGTGTGGAAAAATAGATAAAAAGATAATATTCTGTTGACTTAGCCAACGGCGAATGAGTCAAGCTCCCTATCGGGGACACGGACCATGCTAGGATAGAGTACTCATGAAGATATGGGTAGCTAGCTAATGGAAGGTAGGGACGTAAGCAGGCTTTCTTCGAGTAGAGAAAATTGCAAAGTGTATGTGCGATTTATGGACGAGATGACAAAGGCGCGCAGCGTCAGGTCAAAAGTAGAAACTACAACTATCTCCTGTGGGGATGATCGTTATCTATGAATGCGTTACTCGATCCTGGGCATTCTCGGGCGAAGAAAGACTCACTTCGGCTGATCACGAAGAGAAACCAGTCAACAGATATGAAAGTAGATAGATATTGTTCTCATCCTGTTGGCTATTTGATGTGCATCTATTGACCCTTGTCTGAGAGATATATATTCGTGTATCGCTTTTGGAAGTGTCTACGTGCAGAAGCGTGTGTTTAATTACGGTTTCATAGACGACTTCCATGAAGGCCGAGAGAAAATAGTCTATAACGATAAGGTTAGGCAAACTAAAATATATAGCAATTGTTTTCAAATAAATATCTTAGCTAAATACTAGCTGAGTATAGAATTATATGAATTAAGCCGCTAAAAACCCTGGCAATCTGTATACAAACGCTAACCCATATTACTTTTGTTCTTTACTCAATGTACCCTGGCTGTTGGATCCCGTACCACGTCGGTTCCATAAACAACCGGATGAAACGGATCTCTGTTCAACTTATGTACCATGCAATATGTGGCTGCTTTTTTCTTCATAGGTCGACTTAGAGCATCAGCGAGAAGTGACACGAGCTGAAGGAGAGGCACTAGCACAGATCTGGAGATGTCCCTTCATGGAGGTAATACTGCTTGTGAATCAAACCTACAGTTTCGTAGTCAAATATGAAGTTCAAGCTTCAAAAACAAACTTTATTGATAAATCGTCATAAAAATTTGTGGAACAAATAGAGGTTAATATATGATATATTTTTTTTGAGGAAAATGCATTTTTGGATTAAGTACGAGATACACTCCTGCAGTCCAGTATTTTGAGAGGAACAGCAACATATTATCGTCACCTAGATGCATTCAAAATGTTTGTCAATCGAAAGTATATATATATA